GGGGGGAGGGGCGGGGGGAGGAGGTCCGGTGGGCCGAAGATGGTGAAGGTGCGAGTGAAAAGAGAGAGAGGATGTTAAAAAGTTTTAATATGGCCTTGAATGCGGATAGAGAAGAAGGAGAAGGAGAAGAAGAAGAAGAAGAAGATTCTTAATTTTTCATTAAAATTACCACTTTTCGACCGCTTGTATCTCCAGAACGGCTTGACCGATTTTCAACTTTTTTGGCTCAAATTACTCGATGCCGCCTTTTAGGACATATAACGTTCGATTCAAATTGTTTTATATTTTAGTAGTTATGCACCCCCGAAAAATGGACTTTGGTGGCCTCGGGATAAGAGACTTGTAGTGTCTTTCAGTTTTTGACCACATGGCTGGAGTCACTACTGCGTCTCTTAATATCGACCTAGCCCATTACTATGCAATTTTTGCAATACTTTAAGAAATATTAATTTCTAGAGATCACCAAATGAGCACGTGTCTGCACGGATTAGCGCGTATCGGTTAGTCACTTAGGGCGAAGTCCGCTTGCGGGGACTACAGTAGGGTGTTAAATGCGAGCTAAATGCCCTGAAACGGCGCGCTTATAGACTTAATATAATATAGATCCAGTATTTTTTCAAGAAGTGAAACCGATATAACGGTGTGAGAGTGAGTGAGAACAAAACAATGGTGAAATATCTCCATTCTTCTCCATTTTACTGTGAATATGCGCTCGTAAGAGAAAGATACAAGTTCACTATGTTTTGCATCTATCGCCATTTTGTTGGCTTCACTTTATAGGGGCATGCTAGATCTATCTTATATAAGACTACGCGCTTATACCAAACAATTCCTACTTCCTGCGCAATAATCGAGCGGTACGGCCTGGAGATAGTCCGTGCGAATACGTGCTTATTTAGTGATCTCTAAAAATCGAGATCGAGATTGTTTGCGCCAATCTTCATAGCAATTATTATCAGTATAATTATTATTGTCTGCATAAATTTATTAAAAATTATCAGTATACCGTATAAATTATACCAAAATACTAGCAACCTATTAACTTTTTGTCCATATTTACTTATTTTTTCATATTTTTTCTAATAATTGTTGCATAAATTAATAATAATACAAAATATTGATGAAATACGATTTAGGTACGCATTCGAAACTTTTCCCTGCACGAAGATTTTGCAGTGATTGATTGTATGTGCATTGACGGATTGTTT